ACGGCAGCTGTCTTCCTCTGTGTGTGTCTGTGTCTATTCTGGCCTTTTTATGACTCAGAAGTGATAAAGTTTAGGATCCAATCCACCCTGGTATGATCTCATTAACATAACAAAAAACTCTATTTCCAAACAGGATCGTATCTGCAGGTCCAGGGGTCAGGACTTCAATACATATTTTTGAGGGAAACAATTCAGAGTATAACACTATGTACGTACAGATCATCAGCAGTGTTCAAATTTCAGATAATAAATTCTGATCCTGAATGAAGATTAAACCTGCCTGGTGCCAAGCATGTGCACAACCTGGTCAAGTCCCAGGTCTACTACATACTAGCTGTGAAATTTTGTAAAACTTATGCAACTTCTGTGAATCTCAGTTTTCTCTTTTGTAAAAGGGAATTGATAATACTTTTTATGCAATTACTGTGAGCATTAAATGAGAAATGCATGAAAATTACTTAACAGAATGTCATATGGGGTTTGCTATTATTATTATCATTATTGATAAAAATCCTCACAACTGCACCAGTAAACAACATCATGATAAGTGAAGAAAAGACTGAAGTTGTCAAGGATTTCACTCTACTTGGATCAATAATCAAAGCCCAGGAAAGCAGCAGTCAAGAAATCAAACAACTTACCACATGGGGAAAACCTGATGCAAAAGACCTCCTTAAAGTTCTAAAAAGAAAGATGTCACTTTGATGACTACGGTGTGCCTGACCCAAACCATGGTCTTTTCAATTGCCTCATATGCACGTGAAAGCTGGACAATGAAAAAAGAAGACATAAAAAGAGCCGATGCATTTTAACTGTGGTGTTGGCAAAGAATATTGAATATACTGTGGACTACCAGAAAAACCAACGAATCTGTCTTAGAAGAAATACAACCAGAATGCTCCTTAGAAGTGAGGATGGCTTGCTTACTTTGGACACATCATCAGAAAAAACAATGGCTAGAAAAGAACATCATGTTTGGTAAGGTAGAGCATCAGCGAAAAGGAGGAAAACCCTCAGTGAGATGGGCTGACAGAACAGCCTCAACAAGGGGCTCAAACATATAAAATCATAGAGCTGGTGCAGGACTGGGCAATGTTTTGTTCAGTTTACAGAAGGTCACCATGTGCAGGAGCTGACTCCACGGCAACTACAACAATGACATATTTCTGGTGAGGACAGTTGAACATCCTGTTGCCGTTGAGTTGATTCTAACGCATAGCAACCCTACAGGACAGATTAGAACTGCCCCATGGAATTGCCTAGGCTGTAATTTTTATGGAAGCAGACTGCCACATCTTCCTCCCGTGGAGCAGCTGGTGGGTTCAAACAGTTGACCTTTCGGTTAGCAGCAGAGAGCTTTATCACCGCGCCCCCAGACTCCTCAGAGTTGAACATAGTTCCTCTGTATTTATTACCTTAAAAAGTAGCTTCACTCATTCAATCTGCTGTGTGCCAGATACCAATGCTTTACGTACACTATTCCATTCTTGTGACAAGCCTTGAGGCAGGTGGTGGCCTGGTCTTACAAACAAGGAAATTGAGGTGGCTAGGTTCCATCACTTGCCCCAGGCTACATGTCTACGCAGTGACAGCTGAGCAGGATTCAATACAAGCTTTGTTTGTCTTCAGAGCCCACGACCCTGCTGCGGGTCCTCCAGAGATTCTTCTCACTGACTTCTTCCTTCTCTGATCCTTCTTACACTTACACTGTAATATTCAATGCCTTGTGTTTTATTTCATCTTCTTTGCTGCTTTCTGGGTTTTCATCTTGACTCTCCACCACTTGTCTATCACTTTGTTCCCGTGGTTTGCATGTTTCTGTGATGCTGGAAGCTTTGCCACCAGTATTTCAAATGCCAGCAGGGTCACCTATGGTGGACAAGTTTCAGTGGAGCTTCCAGACTAAGACAGACTAGGAAGAAGGACCTGGCAATCTACTTCTAAAACAAAATTGGCCAATGAAAACCTTACGAATAGCGGCAGAATATTGTCTGATATAGTGTGAGAAGATGAGCCTCCCTGCAACAACGGGCTCATACATAACGACGACTGTGAGGATGGTGCAGGACTGGGCAGTGTTTTGCTCTGTTGTACACAGGGTCGCTGTGAGTCGGAACCAACTAGACAGCACCTGACCCCAGCAGAACTGCAGTGTGCTCTTTGAAGGATGTAACTATGCTTATTATTTTTTTTAGCTGATTAAACGCAGTTTATTTATTTTTTTAAATTTTATTTGTTGTTTATTTGTTGTTGTTGAAAATATACACAGCAAAACATACACCAATTCAACAGTTTCTACGTGTACAATTCAGTGACATTGAGAACATTCTTCAGGTTGTGCAAACCACTCTCACCCTCCTTCTGCGAGTTGTTCCTCCCCCACTGACATGCACTCACTGCCCCCTAGGTTTCCTATCGAACCTTTCGAGTTGCTGTTGTCAGTTTGCTCCCATAGAAATAGTTCGTCAAAAGAGCACAGTGCTCAAGGCATATGCTTGTTTATTTTTAACCTCAGTATACTTCCTCTTCTTCAGAATGGCAGAAGACTCACGGCAAATCCTCAGTAAATGCATATGCAGCTGAGGAAATGGACTTGAAAATTCACGCTTTTCTCAGGGAGGACGCAGTTCATGGTTTCCGGGCTGTGCCCATCATCTATACCCAAATGAGCATTCTTCAAAAGTTCAAGGCAAATACTGCCAAGGGTACCTGAGGAACACAGGAGGACTGTTTCATCTAAAACAAACATAAAATCCACAGATAGAAAACAGCACATTTACTTGATTTTCAAAGTTGTGTTTTTTTCTAATTAAACAACACTGGGTGCTTGAGTTCCAAGTTTGTAGAACAGTGTAAGTACATGGATTTAGGAGGAAGTTTTCCAACTACTAAGAAAATACTTTTCCTGTAAACCCCAACAGGGCGTGGACTAGCGTGAGGCGTGTGACTCGATGGCCCCCAGGCGTGCTGTGGGCTGACTCTATTCTAGAGCCGACAATCAGGCTCACATCACACTCTGCCTCAATGTCTATGTTGTTGCTGGGTGCTGTGGAGTCCATTTCGACTCACAGCGATCCCGTGCGACAGAGCAGAACTGCCCCACAGGGTTTCCTAGGCTGTGATCTTTCCAGGACCAGATCATTGGGTCTTTCTCCTGAATCCGACTCCTAGCGACCC